GAAGTTAATTCAGCATAACCACTTATCCAGTGCACCTTCTTAAGCACATCCCAACTAATAGGAAAGATGGGAGAACCATAGAGAATTTCTTGCTTCAACAATGGTAATTGCATTTAAATAACATTACATAAGACAAAAGTTGAAAATGGACTTAGGATCTAATCTAACCCCTAAGTGTCATACTATTAAACCTGGTACCACTGCTTGTTCTCACTGCCTGTTCTTCAAAACGGAGATGCTATTTAAACAACCCCAGACAAGGAACATTTCTCCTCATTGAGGTGAGCAACTGTTCAGCTCCAGCAGCTTTAAAATATTTGTCATTCATCAGGCTTCCTCTGTTGTTCTCTGGCACAGGGACAGTGGAAAAAAATCCAGGGATTTTCTAGACCTCTTTCCTAAAGGCCAAGACCCTATAATCATCATTTCCTCTCATTTAGCATTATGCTTTTTTGGGGGTTTTCTTTTTTTGATAAGTTTTGTGTAGTGTTGGCCACAGTGACCCTCCTCAGCTGGACTCTGGCTGCTCTGCCACCTGCTTCTCCTACTAGGATCACACTAATTTTCCCACTTATGTCTGAATTTGTAAATCACTAAAACCACATTTCAGCAGTATCTAGCCAAGTGCGATTATGACCAACATTAAAGCAGACATGTACATTGTAATGTGCATAGCTAGATAGGGGCTGCTGGTCACCTGCCAAGTGTCAAGTGCTGCAGCAATGGAAAAGGAGAAGAGTTAATACAAAAAAAAAACCCTTCCAGTTATTGTCTCCAGCATTGGTCTGTATGACACCTTCAATTAAGGCAGGAGCCTTTGGTTTTTGGATGCGTAATTTCAATCTGAAAGCTTAATTAAGCAGATACTTTCCCCTTACTGCTTTCATTCATTGTCCTTTTATTTTACTGAAGCATCTCTTCTCTAAAGACTTGAAAGCACTTAGCTCCCTAGACCAGGTTATTAGACCAAAGCATTCTTGCTCCAGGAGACAGGCCAAGGAAAGATGATTGGTGCTAAAAGCAGGGCAGGTGGCACCTGGCCCATGGGCACTTACTTTTGTGCTTCAGCTTGTGACCATCCTTCTCCTTTAGAGCACAGTAATATTTGCATGCTGATTGAGCATCTGCTGTTTGCAGGATATCCACTTCACAGGGAGTTTTAGGTTCAGCTTCACAATCAGGATAGTGGGATGCAGACACCAAGACAGCTAAGCCCCAGCACGCTGGTGCCAGATCGCTTGTAGAGCTGTGAGTCAGACCATGTGGCTGAACTCATGTCCTGGTGTGGCAGCCAGGAGTGTTTTAGATAGTCACCAGATCTGCAGGCTGTTACCCATTTGTGGAAAATTTAATGAACAGGTAAAAAATAGCAATGTCATAAGCAGAGACAGGCAGCAGCAGCATGTACAGCACAGGTTGGGCAGTGGATCAAGGGCAGTTTGAGTCCATCAAGCACACTCTACACCAGCGTCCTCGTTGTGCATGCAGTTGTGCACACCCCAGGGTGACTTTGAGCAGTCAAGAAGTGAACGTTCAGTCCCTTGGCAGTTCACATCATCAAGCCAAATTTCTCCAGTACCTTTAAAGAACAAATTCAGGGTGGCGGGGGAGGGGGGGGAGTCAGTCATTGTAAGATAAGGGAAACAAGAACCACAAAGAACACACATTTTTCTGAGAATATCCTTGTGGATTGCAAGCATATGCTGGGTTTCGTGGCCAAAAAGCTTTATCTCCCTCATGAGCAAGCCTAGTTTGAGCAGCTCTCAAGGTGCAGCTGCGTCATCCCAAGAGGACTTTGTCCTTTTGAGATTGGTATCTTTGCTTTGCTGTTTCTTGTGAAAAGGGCCTTGTGCTGCTTCCCTTCCATGCAGGGAGCTGCGAGGGACTCACCGGCGCTGGCTGTGAAGGTCCTGACGACGCGGCTGTAGCCCAGCATGCGGCACACCACGGCGCCGTCCTTGGCGTCCCAGCCATCATCACAAATCGTTCCCAAGCAGCCCTTGTAAAAGATTTCCACACGACCGCTCCTGCCTCCTCCAGCAATTTGTATAAAAAAGCTGGAGCTCTCTGAAAAGTCAAAGCAGAAGAGAGCTCTACTAACCACACAGAAATGAGGGAGGAGGGAAAAAAAATCTGCACAGTTGGGGCAGACGAAACAGCAAGTGTTTAGATTTGGGTGAACACTCCCATCCCAGAGGCCGTGGCCTGGTAGGGACCAGAGTCCTGTAAAAGCCGTGCATGACCCAGCCTCGGCCATGGCCACAGCCCAGTCGCACATCGGCGCAGTGTGTAGCCACATCCATCTGCTAGTGCTGCTCCAGATGAGCTCCAGCTAGCCACGTGTGCTGGGAGACAGGCTGGGCCTCATGGCAAAGGGTTTCATGCAAGAAAGGAAGCAGTAGAAGAATAAGTAAGTGCAGTACCTTCTCCTTTTTCTCCTTTACTCCCAGGCACTCCTGGAGGACCTGTTTCAAAGAGAAATAAGCAAATAATTGAGTTGTTTAGAGAAAAAACATGGCCATCACTTTTTTTTTCCCCTCAATAATTGTATTGGTCAGAGATAGAAGGGCTCCATTCTCTTGAGAAATGGGCCCTTGGAAGTGGCTAAGAGTTGAAAAATATGATAGCAGAAGGGCAAAGAAAGCAGGATAACATATGGCAGTTTTCCCTATGTGACTGGAGTGAAAAGCACCGTTTGCAAAAATCTCATTCACTTAAGAGAAATGGATCTCATTACCACATCATCTTTAAAATGACATTCCTGACAGCCTTCAGGATCTCCAGAAGAAGGTATGGTATCTCTAGGAATATTTATAAGATGACCTATATCAAGTGTTTTAGACTGCAGGTGCTGGCCCAGGACTGCAGAAATACACTTACACTTCTGTACAAGATCCCCTGTACTAAGAAAAAAATTTGTGGGGATGGGGGCAAAAAAACACATTGTGCAATCTTCAGATCTGCAGATGCTACCTCCACAAAACACATCTTACTGTCCTCCCACTTGGAGGAGGCTCCATGTCTCCTCTAGAAAGGGATCTGCAAGAGTGCACAGAAGAGCTCCAGAACAGCTCTGATTTATTTTGTTTGCAAGCACCCATGTGCTGATCAGCGCAAGCAACAAAAAGGCAGCAGTTGGAGCAGGTTCCTGTCCTGTACCACAGCCAAAAAGAAATTCATGAGCTCAGACACGCTCCATCAGTGAAGTTTTCTCTGTAAAGGTTGCACTAAAATGTTCTCACTGTCCAAGAGGTGAGGTGCTGTTAAACTCTGTACATCTAGGGGGAAACATGACAGAAACTGAGAATGCCACCAAGATACAACTTCTGCAGAGTTGTCATGCCTTGTTGGATCCCCTCATTATATCTGTGCACTCCGAGCCCTAAGCTTCAGAAGTTTTCACTTTCTTTTCCTCCTCCAGCCGTTAAAAAAATAAAATAAAAATGAAAACACACAGGTAATTGGGTATTTGGAAACAATCTATGATTGGAAGGGAAGAAGGAAAACACATTGCATAGCTCTACTGTTGTCCTTTCTGAAGGGCCCAGAGCAGCCCTCACATGCCAGCACGCACGCTATTGCACAGTGTAAGGTCCCAAACCCAAACACACCAGAATGCTGCAAACAGCCTTACCAATAGGTCCAGTATCTCCTCTTGCTCCCTTGGCCCCAGGCTCCCCTTTTGGGCCAGGCCTGCCATAATGTCCCATTCTTCCTTTTTCACCAATTGGGCCTGGACTACCTAGTGGAAAATTAAAAAGCTGATTCCCTTGACAACTGACAGAGGTAAGAGAGCAGGAGTGCAAGTATTTCACATTGCCACAGAATCATTGCTGAATAAATATCAGAATAAATAATGCAATAGAGCAAGTTCTTACCTGGTGGCCCCCTGTCTCCCTTTGTTCCTTTTGGACCTGCAGGACCTAAGATAATAAAAACCAAATTAAATGCATAAGTATTTATACAATACAAGTTTATACAAACCAATATTTAGGGTGGCTTTCATCCAGTCCAGTTTAGATATCTAAACTATAGAGGTCTGTTTCTGAAGTGGACACTTCGTTTCCCGTTATACTCAATGGAGAAATATCCAAAATATAGAGAGTGAAGAGTCATCTTGATCCTCCAAGTTTCACCTACTTGTGGTCATTTGTATCACCTCCCAGGCTCCACTGACTGGATAGAGCATCTTCAGTGACTGCAGAGCGCACCTACACATATGAAGCCTGGTTTGTCTGATACTTGTAAGCACAAAGTTTGGCCAGGTAGCTCTCATCTCTCCTATCTAGGTATAGGATGAAAGCAGAAGGGTGCAATACTGTCATCTTCCTCATCTAAGGGACCAGCTATGGAGGTTGTGTGCACTATATAAATGAAGAGATTAAAAGGTTGACCTAACCCATTTTGTTCTCCTTTACCTGGCAGACCAATGCTTCCCTTTTCACCTTTCAGCCCCCTCTCTCCTGCAGTTCCTAAAGTTGAAAACAAAACAAAGAAGCAACCATCACACACAGCAAGGCCAGTTTAGGAGAATAGCTGGTTACAAGTTTATTAACTTTGTACCTGGAGTACCACTGGGTCCTTGGGCCCCCTTCTCCCCTTTCTGACCGGGTCTGCCATCAGAGCCAGGAATTCCTGGGGGTCCATGTCCTCCAGGTGAGCCTTGACATTGAGCACAAGTCATACATGTGAAATGCAAGCAAGTCATGAGGGAGCAAAAAGAACCATTGCAAGACAGACAAATCACCTGGCCCTGTGCTTTGCAGAACAAGTTATCCCCATGGAGATAAGTTACTCCTTGATCTCATGTACACTCTGAGCATGGCATATAACTAAGGCAACTTCAGCTTCAGAATGGGGTTGCAGAACACTAGCATGTTTTCTTCATCTCATCCTTCTATCTGTGTTGGGAACTACTTCAGATGTGATATTCTTCATGATATTTTCCATGACAGGGAAAACCATATTTTGTGCAACTTTTGCATAGCTTACCTGCCTGTCCTTTCTGCCCAGGAGGCCCAGGCTCCCCCATGCTGCCTGTAAGAAAATACTAATGTCAGTCCAAGCAAGGCTTAAACAATGGCTCAGCTAACCCCAGAATTAGGAAAGGCATGTGCTAACAGAGGGTCTTGTGCTATACTCTTCCCTTACCATTGAAACCTGGCAGTCCTGTGTCTCCTTGCTCTCCTTGGGGACCCCTAGGTCCAGGGGGCCCAGGATCTCCCCTCTCACCCATTTCTCCCTTCTGTCCTTGGAAACCTACCAGAGAGCACAGCACATGTAAAAATCATAGAAAACTTGCCATTTCTGAAGGAAGCAGAGCATCTTCATCAAGCTTCATGAAGCGTGAGAGTTTGGCTTCACACTTACATTTATCAGTCAGTGGCATCTGTGTGAAACAGTAGGATGACTGGACAGGACCTCAGGAGTCTGTCTGAACCAACCACCAGCAATGGCCAACTGCCCTGGCATGTGTTTGTCAGACCTGGTCTTAAGACTTGCAAGGATGGAGTCTGCACCTCCCTTGCCTTTACTTCCCAAACTATCCCTATCACTAGAGGGTTTTCTTCTCCAAGTCTCCACTACCAAAGGTCTATTCCATCTCCTATCCTGTTTATTCAGTATCTGTGTTTGGAAATTACCATGGTTCACATTACCCTCTCTTCTCTAAGTGGAGGTAATTGTGGTCTGACAGAGCTGAAGTACCTGAAAGTATGCCTTTTAAGGGTGACTTCTCCTTTACCCTTTTGCTCCAGAATTAGTCCAGAGTCCTTAGCTCAGTTATTCTTTCTGCTCCCTTTTCATAGCTCTTGTGAGCAAGCACAGCTCCACTACAGCCTACAGGATCTGGTGACTTGCTTCTGAGGAAGCTTTAAACCACCTATCTGAAACACCCACCCCCAGCTGGACAACACAACTTTTGATTTACTTAGCTAACCTGCTTTAAGCCTTTCCTCTGGGTGCAGCCCACAAACCTACTAAACTGAAGTTATCCAGGAGATGCCCACTAATGCCTGTTACACAAAAATAAATAGGGGAACTATGCAATGTGTTAAGTTGCATAAAAATCAGGATTATATAAGATAAAGCTTCTGGAGATAGGTTTTACTACAGTGAGCATGTGTTTGTGCATATATATTTTTACTGTATTAGTTTATACCATAAAAATCCTATTGTAAACATCACTGGTTTAATCTGAAGCAGGTTGGTAATTGAATACCTGTGGCTTTTATTAGACAGGGCAGCTCTATAGAGACACTTGCATGGTTCAGAGCCAACACTAAGTCTCCTTCACCTAGCCCTCCTCTGGGAGCTTTGCTGGAGCATGACACAAGTGAAATCCCTGCTCTATTCATCCTGCTCCTTCATGGGCCAGCAAGCCATACTTAGGGTTACCTGGGCTTTTATGAAAATAAGAAGATTTGATATGAAGATTTCAAATGATGTTTTAGTTGGAACTAATTTAAACAGGGGTACATAGGAGGAAGGAGGGGGTGGAAGTCTTTGAAGTGTTGAGTCAAGTAGACTTACGTCTTACCTGCAAGACCCATCTCTCCCTTTTGGCCTTTTATTCCTGGTTCACCACTTGGACCAGCAGGGCCAGAGTCTCCTTTACTTCCCTTTACACCCTGAAGTCCTTGTGAGCCTGCATAAGGAATATGACATTTTCATGCTTTTTGGAGCACAGCATTCAGTGACTGATAGTAGCAGCCCATGCAGCCCAGCTGAGGACATGAGCCAACCTCCACGCTTGGTACACTTGAAAGCAGTGCTAGAAACCACAGGGAATCAGGTGACTGTGGCCAGTACCGTGGCTCTTAGCATTTATCAATAAAATAAGATTTATTCTGGGTGTTAATCTTGTTCACATTAAATACACATAGGATTGTACCATTCAGCTCCAACAGCATTGCTACCAACTCATCTCTGTGACTGAGGACAAGATTGTCCATAAAGCCATGTTACAGTCATCCAAGGAAGCAATTCAGGGGTCAGAAATGCTTTACCTGGAATTCCTTTGTCTCCCTTTGGCCCCGGTGGCCCTCGTGGCCCTGAAACAAAATTCATATTAGTCAATACAAGTCATCATCTATCCTTGGTAATGATTAAAAACTTCATTTCTGGTCTTTTTTGTGTGTGCTCGTTCTGTCACCACTGAGCCCATTTTTCAGCGGGCAGCATCACTGCACTGCTGATGTCCAGGCTGACCGCATGCTTGGGGACAGGCCAGCTGACTGCAGGCAAGGCCTCACTGACCAGTCCGACAGGGGCCTTTGGGGAAACTTTCCTGAAAAGGCATTGAACTATTGGGCTATGATACATAATACGGCAGAAACTAAAGAGTGTTTGGCCAGAGGTGGTGTTTTTCAGTGTTCAAAGTGCAGCCAGGGAGATGAGAAAACATGATTTCTAAAAAGAAATAAATATTTTTTCCCCCTGCAGAAAAGTTCAGTGTGGCCAAGAACTAGGGATGGATAAGAGACAGATATGACTTAACAAGGACTGCATCTTAGATCATCATCATAGAAATATTGGTTTCTCTGGAAATCGCCTAGTTCAACCTCTGCTCAGAGCAGGGCAGGTGCCAACACTAGATTTGGACTTGCCGCACCCTCACTGTCTGGAGTTATTTATCTCCTGGAGTGGGTGTAATTCCAGCCCAGAAGATCCAGGGACCCTGAGCATCAGCAGCAGCTTTGACAGGGCTGCAGAGGCCAGGCAGGCAGTTCCCCAGGGACAGAGCAGAAGATCCTGAATTTTTTGCCATTTGTTACATGCACTGTTTAGTGAGGGTCCTACAGAGCAGGGACTGATAAAGCCCCCTTGAAATGGGCTGTGTGAGACAAAAGGCCCAGTTACACTTACATTCTGGGCAAAATACAAGCCCTTTGTAAATAGCTTTCTTCTCCTTTCCTGTTCTGGTTGTATTGACTGACAAGGTCTTGTACAGATGTAAAATCCTCAGTTACATTAGTTGGTGAACTCATCTTGCCTGTGTCACAGGATGATCACAGTAAGACACCACTATTATTGACAGCAGATAGGAAAGATGAAATAAGAAAGCAACTGCCTCCTTTCTTACCTGGATCTCCTCTGTCTCCTTTCTCTCCTGGAGGGCCGGGTGGTCCTGGTGCTCCTGGGGGGAGAGATGCAGGCTGAAAAGAATGTACCATGGCACAAGCTTCTGCAGATGGCTGCGGCATGCCCTTGGGCAGGAAAAGAGCACGGCTGTTGCATCAGCAGCCACACATGCTGATTAACTGAGAAGCTTTTTGCATGCTCATATTGTCCCATCATGTCAACACATCTCCATCTGGCCCTGCTGAGGGGCTCATCCCATGGCAACTCCACAAACAGGCATTGGTACAGGTCCTACAGGAGCAAATAACTCCTCACCTGGAGATCCATCTCTTCCAGACGAACCTTTCTCTCCTTTCAAAGCACTGACTACACCAGGAGGACCTTGGGCACCTTTTTCACCTGGATCACCTGGAAATTGAATTAAGAGGACAAATAAATTAGTTGTTTCCTATGCAGGTAAGGCATTCCTACCCATTCCCATTGGGCCATGGTACTGCACAACTCTCCCAGTTTTGTGTGTGGTGGGGGGGAAGTAAGTCACAGGGGTTTGTTTCCATGACTTACCTTTTTCACCTTTCTCTCCTGGGATTCCTAAAACAGAAAAATAATCATTCTTGTATCACTCAGATAACCTTCAGCATTCACTATGTCTTTCCTATCCTGTGATCTGTTGTTTTCGTGTTATTGCTTACCTTGTGACCCAGGCTCTCCTTTGCTTCCAGGTGACCCTTTAGGACCCAGGTCTCCCTTCTCACCTGCGTCTCCTTAAAGACAAATTTCACAATGCAATGCACTTAAGCAAAAGGCTGCAGCTCAAATTCCAGCTTCACTAAAGTCAAAGGCCAAAAATACTATTGGTTTGGGTGGCCAAGCTCATGATCCTACTCCAACACATTTCTGTGTTTCCACATCACTTCCACCACCTGTCAGGACTGTCTAAATGCCTATTTCAGGATGCTGCAAGGCACTTTAGGAAGCTCTGAAGAGCTCTTGATTCATCAACCAATTCTCAAGAACCAGCTCCACTAGCTCCCCATTCTTTCATGGCTGATAAAGGATGAGAGCAAGAATTTCACAACTCACCTGGCTGTCCTTTTTCACCTTGGCTGCCTTTCTCTCCTTTGGCACCTGAATCAAACACAATGACAGCCTTCATTTCCCAGAAGCCTAAGAAAGGGATCTGAAACTGGTCTCCCTAAACACTCCAACCCCTGACCACTTATGCTGCTCACAGGAATTTGAATAGGTTGTTGTAGCTAATGATCAGCTCCAATCCACTTTCCCCCATAATATCTGAGCTTTTCTGGCCAAGTGGCAGTGAGGGGGCAATGTCAAAACATCCTGCTATGGTCACTCTAGCATCACATGAAGCATGCAGCCGGGCCTAGGCTCCCAGTAGATGAGCCTAAAGGTGCAGTAAGTCTTTCCATTCCCAGATAAATGGCTTTCTGTACATTCTGTATGATGTGGGTCTACAGACTGAATTTTCAAATCCTCATTTAAGTTTCCTTAAGAAAAAAGAGGAGAGATTTAAAAAAAAAAAAAAAAAAAAAAAAGGGAACAAGTTACTTAATTCCTCCATACCTGGTGGACCAGGATCTCCTTGGCTTCCAGGAGGCCCTGAAATGATATTTAGTGGATATTTCTCAGTAGTTAGCACTCAACAACTGATGTACTAGAAGGAGGATGATAAGTTTTAGGGCTCAGTTGAGCCCATCACCCTCCAGTCAGAGCCAGGACCTACAGGAGAGGAGAGCAGCCTGGAGCTGTATTTGCTCCAGAAGCTGCCAGGGTGTGGATATGTAGAGGCAGAGCTGTCCAGGGCCATGCACAGAGACACACATGCACAGACAGGACATTACTCCCCAGAGGAGTATTTCCAACTCTCTGGCCAGGGTGTCAGGAACAAATGTCTAACCCCAGGTGTGAGTATCACTAATTGGAAGATATGAAGAACAATGTAAAGTGCCCAAATCTTGTCCTAGTTATCCATCTGTCTGAAGCATCTTGCTAATTCTGTGGTACTTGCATGGCTCTTGGGACAATTCTCACAAGACTTGATGGGGTTAAAGCTTACCCAGTTTTGGCCCAGCTGAGGACCTGCCCTCCACAGTCTCACACAGGAGGACTGTAGCTCTCAGGCACCACAAGGCCCTTAGGCTTTGCTAGTTCTACCAATGTATTTGCTTCTCCCACCGTGTAACTGGCAAAGCAGAAGGCCATGGAGAAAAGGAACCATACCTGCAGCCAGGGTGATGTTGCTCATCATTATCATCAAATTTTCATTCAAAAAAAACTCTTCCAAGTTTCTCATCCAGTTTTCTCCAGATCTCATGTCTGTCTCTATGTAGTTCTTCTCCAAATAAAGTTTTTCTGCAAAGGAGCTTTTCAGCATCTCTGAGTGGGAGGTATTTCTTCCTTGAATTTTTGACATCTCTCTCTGTATCTTAAACACTGAGGAAACAGAAGGGCCATGCAATAAGCATTGCCTGTCTGGGGTGGGCAGGGCAATCTCTCCCCTGCAAGACTCTTCCCCAGTGCCAATGGGGAAGGTGGTTGTGTTTCTGCAGGACAGAGCTAAACACTCAGCTGACCTATGGAGGTGTTTTTAGCGTGCTGGTCTTTGCCATCACTCACCAGGTGCAGGGATGCACCAGGTGCATCACCCAAGGCCCAGTGTCCCACCTGCCCATCCAAAAGCAAGCAATGCTGGGAGAGCAGGACACTGCAGCAGCATGGAGAGGACATCACAGAGGGGTATGTGCTCTGGGGGTGACGGGTTGGAAGGGTCATGCTGCAAGGGAGAGGGGTGCAGAGAAGCAGGACCTGGGGCTCCTGTGCAATAGGGGGCAGCAGGGAGACAGATCTGTAAAAGAGGGAGGGTGAAAAGGAATCAGAAGGTGCCCGAGATAGAGATGCTGAAGGATATGGCAGGTCGCTGGGGTGCATGGTAGCAGAGCCACGCTCTCCAGGCACCACGCAAAGATGCAAAAGGATACCCAGCAAATGCTTCCTTTTGCAATGGAGCCTGCAGCAAGGCCAATGAGTTACCATTGTACATCAGCAGTGCTTGACCCGCCGTCAGGAGCAGCAGGTAGACGATGAGGGCTGCCCGAGTACAGCACACAGAAGGCTTTCGCTTGCTCCAAGGCTCTGAAACCCAACAGAAGTGGAGTAGGCATCTTCTCACACCTCTCACTACAAACTTTCCAGAGACAGAGAGCGGCCCCATCCCTCAGAGAGGACCAGGTCCCACCACAGCAGCAGCTGCCTTCTCCTCTCCCTTGCACATGCTGGTGCTTTGCACTGCAAGTCACACTGTGCTAGCTCTTCCCTGGCTGTTTTAGCCAGCTTGTTTCAATCAAGGTCCAATCCAACCTCTAACACTACAAGTGCAGTAGTATTTTCCTTTCTGCATGAATAAACTCCCTACTTTCATTGCATTTATTTGTCCAGGCTGCCATTCAAAGAGGTTCTGTTAAAGCACACGCCATCTTCCAGAGTGCTGGGTACACACAAAATTGATATATGTATCAATTGAAACAAATGGGGGGAAAAAAAACAAAACAAGACTGAATGGCAGAACAAATGAAAACAAGTCATAACTTTAAAAACAAATTGTCACCAGCAAACATAAAAGAAAACCTGCTTCTTTGAATTTTGGCCTTTAGGGAAGGGGGAAAAAAGTGTTTCAGAAGCATTATTAACTACTTCAAACATGCAATAAGTTTGCCTTAATTGAGTTTTTTTCCAAAGTAATATAATCAAGAGTTTAAAGGCTTAGCTCTAAAAAGAGTACAATGTTTTAATTAGTTTTACAGTAGAATGCCCTACTCAGCAATACTATATTTATATTCAACTGAAATTCGTAAGCTTACATTTTTTGTTGGATTGGACAATTTGAACATCTTCAGCATTAAGGCATGAAAATTTTACTCAATGAAATTAGGCTTTTTATAAAACAGAGAAAAGAACTAATATTTTCTGATGCTCAGCATCAGCTTCTGCTTAGAAAAGATACTTCCACATACTCCTCTTTTTGCATGGTCAGTTAATTTAGTAGCAAATGTCATTGTAAAAAAAAAAAAACATTTAGAATATATTTTTTATATAATTTATGTGCTGTTTTCTTCATAGACTGGATAAAATAATACCGATCCCTTTAATAAATAAATAAACCTTACCACTTATCTGAAATGTGGTGACAGTAGGTGAAGCAAACTGAATCTTGTCTGAAAGAGTCAAAGTGTTCATATCCTTTGAATTTTCCTCTCCCTTGTGTCCATCTTTAATTTCCATGACAATTTCTTGCAGCTAGCCTAAAAACTTGCCAGATTATGGATGATAAAGAAGAGGGTTCCTATCAGCCCAGGGACTTGACAAGCTTTCTGATACACTTTGCCTACTGCTTTGGTTTTTATATGCTGGTGAGAACTCTGATGTAGTAATTTGAAGACTTCCTCAAAACTCCCGCAGCCAGGACTCGCAGCTTCCCCCACGTGCTACCCTAGGCACAAATGCAGCCGAGCTCTTTGACATCGCTACGATGCATTTAGAGGGGGCATGGAGATTTGACTGGGTCCTAACACAAGTCAAACTCCTCCTACAGCCAAAATGTTTGGTTAAACGCTGGCCTTGAGATCCATTCTCTAGGAAGGCAGGCAAAGTACTGAGCAGTAGTGAGAAAAACTCATTAACTTGCATCAGTGTGACAGTTCAGTGACAGTGCATGACTGAAGCATGAGAAGGAAGAGGATGCACAGGAGCTGGAAGGAAGAATAAGTGACAGACAGATGAGGAAAGCAGAGGCCTGAAGGCTCTGGGAGCAAACTGAGAAGAACCTCTAAAGAAAAGCCCCCACCCCCTTTGCAGAAATCCTCTCCAGCCTTCTGTATCCTCCTCAGTGTGTTATCTACAGCCACAGATACAGCTTCTGCCACTTCACCACCTCTTTGCTCACTTTCTCTGAAACTCACTATGGTCCTTACCTTGGCATTTTGACTCCCCTTGAACCTGGCAGGGCAAGGTGACTCGCCCAAACAACACATGGGAGCTGCAAGCAGGAGCACAGCAAAGGCTCCTCTCCCAAAACACTACCCACAGCAACTACGCTCTTCTCCAAAGCCTGGAGGGATTTTGAAGTCCTTCTCTGTTTTCCCTTCAAACATGACTACACAGCTACAACCCCTCTAGATACTAGAAGGTAGGAAAGGGAGTTCTCTGTTAATATAATGTTCTGTTACACCTGGCCAAGTAATTAGGATAATTTGCTTCATTGCAAAGGGCTGAGAGGCCCTGCTCAAGGAGGGTCATTGGAGATATTTGCACCCATCAGCTGAGCTCCTCAGTGACTAGAGGATGGGATTCAGCTGTGTGCAGGCAGTGGACTGATTTATGGCAGAATGCCTTTAACAACATAGTGAGAATAATGTGTTTTACATAGAAAACATTAAAAAGAAGTAGCTTGCAGCTGTAGTTTTCTAAAAGGCATAGTCTAAGACAGATCTTTGTGCCCTGCTTCTCTCTCAAAAACAAGTTCATGGGTAGGTTTTTTTCCTATCTCTCATTGCTTTGTTGTGGCCTCTTTGTTCAACTCTTGATGGCCCAGGGGACATGGGTGTAAAAGTGGGGTCACACCAGGTGCTCGGTCTTGACAGTCCTGATCTGCAGTGCTCCAGGGTTCGAAGTCCAACTTTCCACTTAGCTATTTAGGGAAGGTCACTAGGAAAGCTGTCATCCCAGCTTGCCCTGCCTGTCCAGATGTGGTTACCTACACAGGTCATCAAGGCTGATTCTCCTTTTCTTTGCACCTAATTTACACCAGGGCAAATCCTCATGTTGCCAAAGTCGCATGGGTCAGCTGAGCGAGCAGCCACCTGTAAATGTCATGCTATGTTTCCATCTAGGTGTCAGCCTATGCAAACACATGGCAGATTTCTCACAAAGAATCTTTTTTTACAGTGCACGTGGCTCAAGGGGGTCACTGTCATGCCAGGGTCAACAGGATCACATATCAATGTGCTTGCCAGGCCTCGGGGTTCGCTCGCAGTGGCTGCTGACCCTCTTCTTTCCATGATCTTTCGTTTCTTGCTGTGCTATCACTGCCGACAGCAATAGATTGACTCTGATTGTGCAACGAGGGTTACTAAATCAGGAAAGGGAAAAGAAAAAAGATTGCTGATTCGGTGCAGCCTCCTTGGGTGGAGGGTTTGCTGAAATGATGGGATTATTAATAGAGAAGCGGTTTCCAGCACACTGATGGGCACGTCTGTCAGGCCAAGCAGCCCCCTCCACCGGCCCTCTCTGCTGGGAAGCACTTTCCGCTTCCTTCCCCTATTCCTGCCTGACCTGAAATGCTCTGCTGAGATCTCCAGGAGGAACCTGAGGGGTTCGGTTGTCCCTCGCCTGTCCCCTTTTGGGCACACGGCTGCTGCCATGGGCACCACCCTTCCAGACAAGCAGGAAGTCCTTATGGGTGAGGCTGTCCCCAAGCACCAGCAACTTCTGCTCTTGCTCTTCAGCCCTTGCAATCTCCTGGCCATGGCTTTGTCCCAGCCTCAGGGCAGTGTGCCCAGGTAAGGTGACATTTCCCAAATGAGAAGACATCCCAGCTCAGAAGTGTTTCTCCTTCTTTGTACAACATGGCAGTTTTTACCAACCCACTTAATTGATTCCCAAAGATCAGGGAATGTCCTAGGCATAAATGAGAGGAGTTCAGAGGGCCATGTTGACCTTCTACAGGTGGGAAAGAGAAGAGGCAAGGACACAAAGAGGCCTGTAAAGCCAGGGTAGCAGGCTCCACCATCCTTAGTCTTCTCTAAACTGAAGAAGTGAGAGTAGTAATGAAAAGTGCTGACAGCCCAGACTTATCTTTACATGAGAGCTCCTGTTTCTGCAGATGAGCTTCAAAGGTGAAGAATTAATCCTGCCCTCAGACAGCACTGCTCTCCTGTGGCAGCAGCCAGCACTGGATGTCCATGCAGATGTCTGTGGTCGAAGCCATATAGCTGCCTCGGCAGTGGTCAGCCTGTGCATAAGCCAGCTTGACTTTTTCCTATTTCACCTGATTTATCTTTCTTTTTCTCTTTTTGGAATGGATGGGGTTGGAAAATTTTGTCATACCAGCAAGTTCCTTGGTATGAGTGTGTTTATCTTAAAATGTCTCATTTTCCCCATAAAGGAACCAAAGTCTTCAGAGCTCCCTAAAATCTGGGAGTGCTGCTGAGTCCAGGGCATGGGAGATGAGTCCACAGCCAGCTGAGGAAGAGCCAGGTCTGGTGTCTCCCT